GTGTATGTTTATTTTATAAGTGGGCTACGGGACTGCCAGGGCTTGGCAGAACCCAGAGAGAAAAACTCTAGCTACATAGAGGGGAGGAAGTTAGAGGAAGGAAGATTGGGGGTTCAGCACTGCCAAGAGCAAACCACCCATCAATGCGATGCTTCGGTTTAGAACGGCCAACCCTACTTCCGTTTTTTATTTACCATCTTTTATGCTTGATAGATTTGATGTAGCCTGAGGGAAAACCATAAACCCTTTGTCTTAGCCCATTATCTGCACACTTGGCTGTTGTTTCTTTACTCTCCATAAAAACCACTTATCTCTTAATAAGGGACTTGAAATAAACCACACTCCACACTCTCTCTCTCCCAGCCTTTTCCCTCCCTGAATTCTCAACCTTCCCCTCCCACTCTGTCCACAGCTAGTTGTAGCCTGAGAGCTGAGGCCTCTGGTAAGAATTATTCTCCTCTGGCACTGCCTCCTTCTGGCCTGTGTTCCCTTCAGTTGGAGCTTCCTCAGCCTAGGAGCAAAGGAGCCTACACAAAGTCTTCAGCCGAGCCCAAGGCTGCTGAGCCTCCTAAGCAGGGCAGGGAGCTGCCAGACCTCGGTGCAGCCTCCACTGGGAGAATCAGAGCCACTGGACCAGGCAGGGACTGGGGGAGTTAGGCTAGACTGTGGCTAGGAGGTGTGAGTGAGTCTATTGGCCTGGATTGTCCCAGCAAGGTGACCCTGATTCAGGAGCCTCAGGTCTCCATCCCCAATCTCCAGATGTGGCTAAGAACACCTGGAGGAAATTGCTTGTCCAACACTTTTAGGATCATTACACTTTAGCAAGACTAAAAGTCCCATTTCTACAGATCAGGCAAAGTTGTTCAGACTCATGCGTAGTCTTTAATTAGAACAAATAGTCTTCGCCACACAACAAAATGAAATTGATGATTCTCTGACAGCTAATCGCTTCCAAGAAACAACAGATGCCCTTAAATGATGCTATGCTCCATGGTGTTTCCTAAAGCACACTTAACTAACTGAATAAAGCATTGTAATAATCATGCTGATGTTTCTAAATACATTTTAAAGAATTTCTAATAAAAAATTTCCTCTGAGGATGCCAGGGAGGTTTTCTTAATTGGTTATGAAGTTAATGTGGGTTGGGCCCATCTTGAACATTGTGAATACACACACATACACACACACTCACACACACATACATTCTTTCACACATTTACACACAAATTCTCACACACACACATTTTCTCTCTCACATACACACATTTTCTCTCTCACATACACACATTTCTCTCTCTCTCTCTCTCTCTCTCTCTCTCTCTCTCTCTCTCTCTCTCTCTCTCTTTCACACACACACACACACACACACACACACACACACACACACACACACACATGCACACACACATGCATACTCTGTCATATATACACAGCTACTGGCTTCAGGAAGTTTAACAGAGGAAGGTGCATCCAAGGCATAGAAATGTTAAGCAGGGCCTACTATAAAGGATGCAGACTGAGGATGAAGCCTGGGTAGTGAAAGATATGGAGATCAATGAGAGTGATCTGGCCTTGGGAGGGATGGCTGTCCCCTAAGATGTTGGAGGACTTGGTATAGGCTTTGCATTATGAGAAAGTGTTCCCACAAGTTGGAGATGAGGAGTTACATCCTGCAAGCCTGAAGAGCTGATGGTCTGGTGTCTGTCTGGTAAAAGGACATGAACAAGGAGAGATCATCCCTATAGACCTGGCAGAGTAAATAATGGGTACAGCTAGACAACTAGAATAAATAAACAAAACTACACTTCATAGCCCCTGAGTTAGAATGCAGAGTTCTTTTAAATGTGTGTGTGTGTGTGTGTGTGTGTGTGTGTGTGTGTGTGTGTGTGTGTGTGTGTGTGTTATGCACATGTACTTGTGTGTATAGAGGCCCAAGGTCAATGTCATAGTCTTCCTCTATTACTCCTTAGCTCTATGTTTTAAAACAGACCTGTTTCTCACCACACCTGTTACTTGAGAATTAGGAGAGACAAGCTGGCCATTGAGCTCCAGGGATCCTCCTTTCTCTACCTCCCCAGCACTAGGGTTACAGGCGCATTCTACTTTGCCTAGCTTACTTTCATGTGTGTGCTAGAGGACCTGAACATGCTTGCACCAACACACTTTACTGACTGTGGCATCTTCTCAGCTCTGTCAGATGAGATTTCTGAGATGTCCAGCTCCACTAAGCCTTAACCTGCTGAGTGAGGCAGGGAAGCCTGCATCTTCCACATGGGAGCCCTGAGTGGACCCCCCCTCTCCACACAGTGTCATGCTATGTGAATGTGGTCAATGTCTCTTGCCCAGTGGTCTTAATTTACACAGCTAAAAGCACAAATATTTTCCTTCTTTCATGATGATCTAAATCATAACTAATTAAAAACAGAAGTTAAGTTCTGGTCATTTGATTGGAAAGAATCATACTCTATTCAAGGTCTTCTTATTCTCTCTAATATAAACCCATTCAAATCCTTACTGCTGTGACTGGTGGTCACGCTCTGTCTGGCGCTTTCATGTTCTTAGAGTCTTGTTGAAAGGATTGAATGGATGGACACAAACAGTAAAGCAGCAAAAGTTTTTCCTCAAAAACTACAGAGTAGATGTGCTGCAGGGGAGCCGCAGGCTCCAGCAAAGCGCTCAAGAGCCCAAGTTACTTTCTACTGCTTCCTTTTACCAGTGCAAGAGGAAGAGTTTGTTTCTAAGTGCATCACATGAATTTCTATTTTGATTGGTAGGGTTGGGTTGTGTAAGCTTTTGTTCCCTTGCACATGTTCTTTCCAGGATACATTTGATTTTTAGTCACATACAAGATCAATCATGAGCAGGCATAAAATGATATGCCATACTTATCAGTTGCTGTGGCAAAACACTCTGGCCAATAGCAACATGGTGGGCAGTTATTTGGTTTATACTTCCAGGTCACAGTCCTTCACTGAGGGAAGCCAGGGCAGAATGCCAGCAGGAATTGAAGCAGAAACCACAGAGGAAGAATGGTTACTGTCTGTCTCCCAGGTTCAAGTTTAGCTACTTTTCTTACTCATCCCTGGCCCACCTGCCTAGAAACAGTACTGCCCACAGTGGACTGGGCTCTCCTACATCAGTTAGTAATAAAAAAAAAATCCCCCCACAGACATGCCCAGAGGCCAATGTGATGGAAGCAGTTCTTCAACTGAGGGTCCCTTCTCCCAGGTGTGTCAAGTTAGCAACTAAGATTAGCCACCACAAATGGTACATGGGGATGTTTTCCCCGGAAAAGTTCATATAGATAATACTGTTCACTTTACTGTGTATTCATATAAAACTAGTCCAGGCTGGGCTGGATCTGTCTAGTTCCACAATACATTCAAGGGAGTGTTTGACCACTAAGTGATTGATTGTTAAGGAGTTATTAAAGCTTATTAGGGCAGAGTGATAAGTTGGCATTTTTGTAGAGAGAGGAATATGTGTAGAAAATGCAAGTCAGGGTCCTGGGTTGCTAAGATATACCTGAAAACTACTTTGCCTCATCATAATGGCTTAGATATGGTTTATTATACCCTCTAAGGGTGCACATATTGAAATTTAATTGCTTTGTGAGGTATTAAGAGGATATGGATTTTACATATTTTGCTCTGGGGTATGTAAGAGATGATTAGGATTAGATAAAGTCATTAGGGTAGAGCCCATGATCTGATCCTGTATCTTCCATAAAAAGGGACACAGTCTAGCACAGGCCTATCTACTTCTGCCATATGATTCTTTGCACCATCAGGGACTCTGCCAGCCAGGAGGCTGTCACCTCACCAGAAGCAGTCCTCAATCTTATACTAGAATCATGACCCCAAATGAACTTCTATCCACTATAGTTTACTCAATCTATGGTATTCTGTGATCAGCATCAAACAGCATACTAGGACCCTAACCATTAACTACAATGCCCAATGTCACCTGTCCCAAGCTCCTTGAATTCTCTGTCTTCAATCTGTAACTAGTCTCTATTGATCATGTCTACTCTTATGCCTGCTTCTCTGCTTCCATGGGTGGGTAGATGTAAATCTGCTGTGTTAAATGTGGCTCCCCTGGGCTTCTTTGGTTGATTTCTCCCTGGAGCTTGAGACAGCTGGTGAAACAGTCTTGGCATAAGAATTTACAGATTCTTGAAGGAAGATATAAAGTTGGCTCAGACTTCCCATGTCTAGGCCAAGACATCACACTTGTATAGCCAAGAACTCTTCTTGACAGCGAAAGATGTATTTTGTGTTGATATCTGGAAGCCTTGAATATCAGAAATTCACAGAAAGGAGGGGGCGTGGACCCTGAGCTGTATGTTATGTAGCAAGACTTTAAGCCCCCTTCAGGTATATAGTCAGCAATCCTGACAGCTCACAAAGTGCGCTGGTAGCCAGGTAAGAGTGGGGGACAAGGAAAAACAACTATTCAGAGTTCTTCTGTACAACAGGCTTAAACAGGACCCAATGCTTCCAACCTAAGGTAAGATTTTGAGCCATAGGGGGGTCACATCACCTGCACAAGGTCATGTGTGCCTGGACCATGACGAGATTGTGGAAGGCTGGGAGCAGAGGAAGGCTGAAGCCTAGTGCTAAGGTGGCAGACACTGCTGTGGGATTAGAGGGTTGGGGATATGAGGTACCTAACTACCTTGACTCCTGGCCCTGGAAAAAGGCTCTTCCCAGACTGTGAGCAGCTGAAGTACATCTGGAGAACACAGATTAATCAGTACAGATGGGAGCTTTTGTTTGCCTTTACACTTATTTTATCAAAAAATAAAATAAAATAAAATAAAACATCCACACATATGTGAAAGTGGAGAAAATAGTGAAGAACATCAAACTCTTATGAACTTATCCCCCAAGTTCAAATTACTTTACTCACACGTGTCTTATTCCATCCACCCACTTTCATCTTTTTCCCCTATAGATTTTAAAGGAGATCCCAGGCATCAACACTTTATCAGAAAGTAGTTCCTTAAATATTTTATGTAACTTTATTAAGTGTCTTTGATAATTTCATACATATGCATAATGCATTGTAGCTGCTCTCATGGATCATCCCAGGACATACACTATCCTTAATTTTTTTAATGAACAAATATTTTTAGTCAATCTTTAACTTCAAACTTAAAATTATATCTAGCAAAAATCACAATAAATTGTCTCAGTTAGGGTTTTTATTCCTGTAAAGGGACACCATGACCATGGCAACTCATAAAGAAAAACATTTAATTGAGATGGCTTACAATTCAGAGGTTTAATCTATTATCCTCATTGTGGGGAGCATGGCAGTGTGTGGGCAGACATGGTGCTGGAGTGGTAACTGAGAGTCCTACATTTTGCAGGCAACAGGAAGACAACTGAGACACTGGGCAGTACCTGAGCATAGGAAACCTCAAAGCCCACCCCTACAGTGACACACTTCCTCTAATAAGGCCACATCCACTCCAATGAAGCCACACCTCCTAATAGTGTCACTCCCTGTGAGCTTATGGGGACCATTTACATTCAAACTACCACACAAGTCAACTAATATTTGATTTACATTTAAATTTCTTGACTTTCTCATAAAAAGAAAAAGGAATCTGAGGGACTTCTTAAGCTTAAAATGGGGTCCATACAAGGCTTCCACATCATGGTTGCTACTTTATTATGCTACCTATTTTGTGTCTCTAGAATTTCCCAGATTGTAGATTTAGCTAGGAGGAATTTCTAACTTCGCCATCACCAGGAAGTGTTCAGGAAGAGGAAATACTGGTTCACTGGTTGGCTGTTCTGTTTCACGGAGGACAGCATGTCCCTGGCACATTGTATCAGATTTTTCAAGGAGGAGTTTGAATGTGATTTCTAAATGTGTGGAAGATAGTGATGGCAAATTCTGGACAGAGATCTTAACAATGGCCATGATAATCATATTGACTACAATATTGAATGATCAACCTGTCCTTGTCAATTGGTAAATGTTTATACTAGGAACTAAAATTCCTTCAAAAAGACTCTGCAGGTTGAATAACTGGTTTGAACTTCATGATTGTGAAAACCTGGACAGTTACAACTCCAGAGCCCCAATTGTCTTGGGTGGTCTTCATAGTCTCCTTACTGCCACTTATCACCTATATCTGTCTGGTTTAACAGCCTTTCTACTATCAGGCAAAAGCTTTGGAACTTAACAAACCATTAGCCACCACCCCCCAATCCAGAGGCTAAGAATGGCATCAGATAGCCTCTTAAGCCTGAAGCAGAGGTTTCTTCACTTTCCTGTGACCTAATGTTCCCTCCAATGCGTTTGATGAATCTACTGATTTGTGGTTTTCTTTTGTTCTGTGACTATAAAATGTTTGTGTAACCACTCTGTAGTGAAACATGGTAGGAAAGCCTAAATCCATGTTTCTAGGCCATAGTCATTCATATGTGGCTGAGAATAAAGTATCCTTTATTCCTTGTGGAGTGAGAGCTACATTTTATAATCAGTGGTTCTCAATCTGTGGGTCGTGACCCCCATGGGATCACATATCAGATATCCTGCATATCAGATATTTACAATATGTTTCATAACAGATGTGAAATTACAAAGTAGCAATGTAATAATTTTATGGTTGGGGAGTCACCACAACCTGAGGAACTGTATTAAAGTTTCTCAGCATTAGGAAGGTTGAGAAACAGTGCTCTGTATAAATACCATACATGCTTTTGTTCAATTTTCAATTTAAGGAGGAGGAAGATAATTAGTAGAGCCTAAATAAATGATCTACCTCAAGGCATACAACTAAGAACTAAAAAACCTGGAATTTGAGCTCTTAGTGGTCTCATACTAGAACCTCTTTGGTTTTGTAACCCTGTGGGATATGCGACTGGATTGCAAGAGGTGCTCCATACAGTGACTCTGATGAACAGAGAGTAGACAGTAAGGATGGATTTTTTGCTAAGAAAGCGGGAGAGGCTATCTCATAGCCTGTGCCCTGATAGAGACAACAGGAAATTTGCTATGGTCTCCATAACAAAGTTGTTCTGAAGGATGGAGCTGTTTGGAGGAGCAAATTGTGTGTGTGTGTGTGTGTGTGTGTGTGTGTGTGTGTGTGTGTGTGTGTGTGTGTGTGTGTTTGCAGACATACAGACTTGGTATAGTATGTCTGAAGGGGTTGCCTTGCACATCCTATTTCATGCCACACATTCTTGAACTGTGGTGGCATTGATTATTCATCAAGGCATGCTAAGATCAATATTCCTGCTATCTTCTGCCTACCACAGCCACCATGAGGGCTCATGTTAGTCCCAAGCCCCACTCTGTAGAAATGAGGAGTTAATAGCTCAGTCCATTTATGATCCCATCAGAACAATGAACAACATTTCATATCTGCCAAGAGGTTCTGATTTTGGCTTAGTGATCAGGCCAAGTATATATAGCATTGTAGCTAGGCTAGAGAGATGTCAGAACTCATGATGGAAAAGACCATCTTTTCTAATCACTAAGATAGAGGAGAACCCTTACCACAACCTCCAATGGTTAGTGCTCTTACTGCATTCTCTTCTGGGAGAATCATTATCAGAAAAGCAGGGCATCTGTCTGGTTTTTAGGATTCGCTAACCTCATAATGGTCACTTAAAGTCTTTGGGTTTCTTCCTTCTGTGAGGAGAGAACTGTATAAATCACTGAGTCACACTTATAGGGCATCTCAGATGTGCCATGCCTTGCTAAGAATGGGGGAAAGGTAAAAGAGTGTGCTGTTCAGTCACATCCCTGCATTTGAGAGTGCAGATTGGGTATTTCAGGTAGAATTTGATAACACACCTGAAACTGGGATAAGCACTGCTCAGTAGTACCACACAGACTAGCCAGTGCTCCGAGAGACCGGGAAAGCCTGAGCTGAGTCCTTCATCCAATACAGCTCTCAGTAGACACTGGAAGGTGCAAGAGTTGACGGCTCCTTATCCTTGCAGGGATCAGAATATCTTGAGAAAGAAAAACACATAATGCTAAATCTTTGAGTGACAGGTTTCCCTCTTCATATGGTCAGAAAATGAGGGCACCACCACTAACTCTGAGCACCCCAGAGGATGAAGTATTCAAATAGAAGTGGAAGGAGGATCCGAAAGCTTCACCTTTGAACTAGCTGTGTGAGTTTGAGGACACTGCAGCAGAGAACAACCAGAAAAGTAGATTCTTAGAAGAAAGAACTTTCTACCCTTCTGTCATTCAAGGATCAGTAGACCACAAGAATGCTGGAGAAGCTGGGTTAAGAGCCCAATAGTCCACTGAACCACACTCAGCCCAGAGGGCTCCTTCTATTGAACTTTCTTCCATCACCAGCCCTGTTCTCCAGTCAACTGCAGAGAGGGGACCTGAGGAGACTCTAGGGACAGATGTTTTCAGGAGAACCCAGATTGTACAGCTGGGAATCTGCCAATAGATCAAGAGCCTCCCATGACTACAGTGGTTTCCCAGTGGTTGCTTGACCCTGTCCATGCCTGGGGCCATCCTTTCAGGAGACATCTGAGGAGCAGTTTTATTTCCTACCCAGATTAGTATATCTGCGCTGATGCCAGAAATGAGCCCAGGCTGCCTCGGTTTGTAACCAAGGGGTGCTGGTGACTAAAGGTAACCACAAAAGAAATGACAGACTTACACAGATTCTACTAAAAAGGCTCACACTGTTATTACTTTGGCAGTGATACCTATCCAGATCTCTCAGTTTCAGCTTTCATGCCCATCACCTCATGAGAGCTTCACAAATGACCTATGTGATGTAGTTATCATGCTATCTCCAGTCCTTAGAAAAGAGGGGGGTTACATAGCCAGATCCTCCCTCGGGAATTTCTGGAGGGAGTTCTGGGACACTTCTCAGAGGAGGCTTTTGGGACAAGGTGAAAACTTTCCCAAGAACTAGGATGCAGTGAAGTCAGCCACCATACTAGACATGGTCTAGAGCAGCAGAGATTCATTAAATTATAGATCAGGATTGGAGGGTCAGAAACCATAACTGCCTTAAGTATACTTAAGACTGTTATATAAGACAGATGCCATCTGAAGTCACCTACACAAAGCCCCTACATGGACCGGCTGAAATCATGGTACATGAGAGAACTGTGCCTCAGTGCCCTCTCTGAACTGGGAATTAATTGCCAGAGAAGGATGCTCTGGGGACGATTTCTACTTCCCACTCAGTCTTCATCTCCATCTGCCTCTAGAGTGGTTCCCATGTGACTAGCAGTGTCAGTGAAGGGTCATTCAAAACTACACGGCAGTGGCTCTGCTTCTTCATGAGCCGTGGAGAAACAAGGACTCTGAATCTTCATCTAATCGCCACCGTGGGCTCTCTTTTCAATGTTACACTGGGGCATGAATACCAGTTAGGGATACCAGATAGGGCAACAGCTTGGGTGCCAGGAGCTTGTGAGAAGTAAATGCAGTGGTGTCACCCAGAGAGTTGTCTACTCACCCCAGCATGGATGAGCCCAAGGTGAGAAGGCCCCCGGGACTCCATTGCCTGGCTTCCAGATGCTCCAGTGCACTGGTATCAGACAGGAGGCTGGAGGGTTAATGGAACCTTTGCTTACTTACCTTTAGCTTTCATGGATTTATGCAAATGTATTTCTTACATTCAGAGTTCAGATTCAAAAAAGGTTTGATCTGTAAACAACTTTGCATTTGAAGCTTCCTCTAACTGTTGGGGTTTGAAGACTTCGTTAAGTAATCAGCACCTTTGTGGAGATGAGTCCCAAGTCAGCTCTGAAAGGAGCTGTGAATGGAGACCAAGCCCAACCAGACCATGCAATCAGCAGGTTCCGTTCTGGAGAAGTCGAGAAAAGAGAAACAGTTTCCAGAGAGTGTCAAGGGATAGAAACACTTGACTCAGCCTGCAGCTTCAGAAGGAGAGTAGTAGGTCAATAATGGGAGGTGCCTAAGAGAAGCTGGAGAGGAAGATTACTCATGGAGTGCTGAGTTTGTTCCAGCAGCTCACAGAGACCAGCATGACCAGCCTGATGGACAGCATCACGCCAACTTCCAGAACGTCACCTTCCTGACACTCCATCAAGATTCATGTAATCACAATTGCCCCTCGGTGCAGAGAATGATGATAAAACCAAAGCACAGGTGTCCAAGTTTGAGTCTGTATATCCACACACAGATACGTGTGCATATCCCAGGCTTACTCCAAGAATGTTTCCATGTTTTTAATTTTACCACTGTGTTTCCTTAGTCATTAACTCCTACGGATTCTATATGCAAAATGTTTCTCTTACTATTTCAGTTTGTTTCCCTTCCTCACTCTGTTCTTGTTTGAATTCAGGCTCACTGTCAGTATTTATTACCCATGTCCACCAGTACATGATTATCCAGGAGGATGGAGTTGGATGGACTGGAGGGAGCATCGAGATAGTCATTTTACTGCTTTGCCTCTGTTTTAACCCCCCTTTTTCCCTAAAGCAGTCTCGCCATGTAGAACTATTCTCTACTTTCTAAGCATACCTGTCTATTCCTGTGTGTTTGTCTGTGGGGTTGGCCTTGTGTGTCATTCCTTTGCTGCCTTGTCTGTGCTCTGGACTCACATGGAGGCAGAGTTGGCAGCCACTGTATCTCTTTATCCCTAACTCCATGTTCAATATCTCACGAGAAGCTTTATAAATATCAGCTGAATTAATGAACAAGTGGGTTTCTGAATCAGTAACCCTGATCAAAGCAGCAGAGGATAGTTAGGAGTTAATAGTTCAATTTTTAACAAGTTTAAAAATCACTTTGTTCTGTAAAGAGATCTATAAGAACATTCCCTCATCCAAGAAACGTGTCAACACTTTTGGTGTTTACCCAAAGAAACTGAAAGCTACATCTCCACGAGAAACACGTGCGTACTTCGAACTGCTTCGTTCCTTCGACCAGTAAGTAAGAGTAAATAAACTGTGGAGTATGGAGACAATGGATGGCATTAAAGGGAAGAAGCAATTCCACCACAAGCCAGGAAATACTCTCCCAGGAAACCTACATGCACAAGACTAACTGAGAGAAGACAGTCTGAAAGGGTACACGAGGTCTGACTCCAATTCTTTGACATTCTAGAACAGGCAAAAATACGAGAGAGTAAAATTCTCAATTGTTGTCAGGGGCCATAAGACAGTGAAACTATGCCATGCGGTCATATAGTCAAACATATGTCATCATAAATTTCTCCAAACCCACAAAATGCACAAAAGCAGGAACAAACAATAACACCAACTTGAGGATAAAAGAAGCATGTCATTAAAACAGCTTATTTTTTTAAAAAATATTAACATGGATTTTTAGCACTCGCCGTATTCTAGGCTTCACTAAGGACTTGACTACATATTTAGCATGTGGCAGGTCTCTACATGACAGGTCATTCCCACTCTTTACCACCCCAATCATATACGTCTCCAAACTAGAGCTCATCTCTTTCTTGAGGATCAGCCAAGAGAGCCTGGGTGTCCTATTAACAATATCACAAATGTTAAAAACAACCCCAAAGTTGCAGGTGGAACTCAAAACCTCCACTGGAGGCCCTTTGTCCTGGGTGTGGCAGGCAGCAATGTGTTTGGATCAACTTCCTGAGTGGCAAACCCAGTGTGCTTCAACACCAGACAGGGACAACTCCATGATTCAGATTGCCCAAAAGGGGAGAAACTTCACAGGGTGAGCAGTTATCTTGCTCATAACAGCATCTTTAATACACACACCAAACAGTGAGACCTACAAAGGAATGGAAAAATGGAAAAGTAAGTAAAGTGAACATTCAGTCATGTTCTAGGCAAGACATCTGATCAGCAGCCATACTATAGGCCTTATGATGTGGGTTCCTCCAATAACAAAGCCACTTAAGGGTGTATTTCTCCACTGCCATATAGAGAATGCATCAGTATTTACAGGAAGTGCTTGCGTACTATGCAATGCCAGCCACAGCCCTAGGCACATTCTCATAGGCAGCAAGCTGTAGGTAACACATGCAGAAGAGAGCATATTGGAATCCATCAGTGCACAGCCAATAGGAGTAAAGTACTCCAATAAGCCTCTTAGTTATGGATCTCCATGGCGATAGGGGATGCCACATCTTCAGTGGTGGAATAGAGCAGGACAGGGCTAGCCTGATCCATAATATAAAAGCTAAAATACATTCTAAGAAGGTGTGTCAAAGCTGCCAAGTATAGGGGAACACCCTTGCCCCTCTCTCTGGGACTTTGGGGATCTGGACTGTAAACCCATCCTTCTATCTTCTTCCTCTGGTTCATTGGTCTGTTATATGGGAAAGATGGTACTCCCACAGTGTAGGAGCAAAACCTGTATGCATGCATATGAATATTAGAAAGTATAAAGCAATAATAATTTAGAAGTGTTGGAAGGGAGACACATATTTGGTCCAAGGGTTTATGATCTAAAGTATGAGGCTGGAAGAAAAATTAAACACACAAGAAAAGTGAACAGATTATACTCCAGATTTGTAAGTGTCCATAGCTGGAGAGGCCCATGGCACAGACTTTGGAGGATGAGGTTGATATGTGAAGTCAAAGGATGCTGAGCTACTGTGCTGGTTTGAAAGAAAATGGCCCCCAAAGGGAGTGGCTCTATTAGGAGGTGTGGCCTTGTTGTAGTAGGTGTGGTCTTGTTGAAGGAAGTGTGTCACAGTGGAGGCGGGCTTTGAGGTCTCATATATGCTCTAGATACTGCCCAGTGTCTCAGTCCACTTCCTGTTGCCTGCAAGTAACCATATAGGACTCTCAGCTCCTTCTCCAGCACCATGTCTGCTTGCATGCCATGTCACACCATGATGATAATGGACTAAACATCTAAAAATGTAATTTGCCACCACAATTAAATGTTTCCTTTATAAGAGCTGCCATAGTCATGGTGTCTCTTCTCTTCACAGCAACAGAAACCCTAACAAAGACAACTACTCTGCAGAGAAGATGACTGGAAGCTCATTGTCTCTTTACTACTACTTATAGAAGAGGCAAGAAGGAAGAAGGAGAAAAAAAATCCTAAATTTAAAAAAAAAAAGGATTGGGTTAAAATCAGCAGGGGAAGAGTTCCAGATGTTCAGAATGAGGAAAAATCACAGAAAGTAGCCTCGGGAGCCAAGCATAGCTATCTTTTGAGGATGAATGGGACCTGCAGCACTCACAAACATGAGACGTAATGCTATAAGGGGGCTCACACTGCTTACTAGGTGCTGTGGCCTGAATGTGCACAGGTCCCACCCTATAGGCACAGGCTGTAAAACAGGGTTAGGGACCCCCAGAATCTGTGTTTAGCTAACCAGGTCTTTGTGAGGTGTCTTAGCTAGGTTTCTGTTGCTGTGACAAACACCATGACCAAAAGCAACTTGGTGGGGGTAGGGAATATTTCAGCTTACAGTTGTAGTCCAGCATGAAGGTAACTCAAGACAGGAAACGAAACAGAGGCCATGGAGGATTGCTGTTTACCTGCTTGCTCTCCATGGCATGCTCATCCAGCTTTCTTATAGCACCCAGGACTCCCTGCCCAGGGATGGTACCACCCACAATGACCTTGGACCTCCCACACCAGTAATTAATCAAGGCAGTATCCCACAGACTTGCCTACAGGAGGCATTTTTAAATGATGAGTCACTCTTCCCAGTTATGTCTAGATTGTGTCAAGTTGACAAAAGCCAACATAAAATGATTTAGTCATGAAGGACAGTCCTTAAAAGGGACCCAGAGAAACTCCACACCTGTGCCATCAAGTGTAGATACAGCAAGAAGATGGCATTAGCAAACAGGCTAGATACTGGATCTCCTGCAACCTTAGTTATTTTGTTGTTGTTGTTGTTTTTATTGTGGTAGTGGTGGTGGTTGTGGTAAGAGCATTTAACATGAAGTCTCTGGGGAAAATTGAAGGACATAAAATATTGTTAACTGTAGACTATCATGCTGCAAATGTATACATCATTTTCATCTCTCATAACTGAGGCTTTATACTTACTAAAAGAACATCCCATCTCTCCCTACTCCAAACCCTTAGCAGCCATCATACCTTGTTTCGGTGAAGTTGACAGTTTTAGGTGCTTCATGAGTGAGCTTATGCATTATCTGACCTTCTGTGTCTGCTTTATTTGGCTCCTGTGTTTCTTTTTTTTTTTTTTTTTTTTTTCCGAGACAGGGTTTCTCTGTGTAGCTTTGCGCCTCTCCTGGAACTCACTTGGTAGCCCAGGCTGGCCTCGAACTCACAGAGATCCGCCTGGCTCTGCCTCCCGAGTGCTGGGATTAAAGGCGTGCGCCACCACCGCCCGGCTCCTGTGTTTCTTCAAAATGTAGAATTTCCTTCTAAGACTGAAGAATGTTCCATCATGTGTGTGTGTGTGTGTGTGTGTGTGTGTGTGTGTGTGTGTGTGTGTGTGTGTGTGGTACATGGACGGTGTACATCTCTATCCATACATCTCATTTCCTTACCTGTTTATTCACTGGTAGGGATTCCGATTGTTTTCATATCCCAGTTATGAATAGAGCTGCAGTGAACATTAGGAGCATAGATAACACTGAGATCCTGATTTCAAATGTTTGGGTAGACACCCCAAAGTAGAATTACTGGAACATCTATTTGTTCTATTTTTTTCCCCAAGAAATAGCTACATATTTTTCACAAAGACTGAGCCATTTTACTTCTCTGCCAACAGTCTGCAGTGGTTCCTCCTCCTCCCTGGTCTCCATGACACTTACCTTCTGTGGGTTTGTGATTTGGGGTTTTGCAGTGACTACATTGTTCCTCGGGAGAATGACGAGAAATCTCACTGTAGCTTTGGTTTGCTTTTTCCTGGTGATAAGCAGTACGGAGCATCTCTTCATACACCTGTTGAAGGAAAGGTCTATTCAAGTGCTTTGCTCATTTTTCAGTCTATTTATTGGGAGTGGAAGGAAGAGGGATATAGGATTTGAAAATGAGAGCTAGAAAATGATTTGTTCGTCTTTGTGGAGAAAGCTGGCAAAGTGTGGGCTGTTGCTGCACACCATGCTGCCTCTGCTCTGCCCATTTGCTAGGCCCAGCCAGCCTGCTAGGCCTTTGTGTTTGAAAAGAAAAAGAAAACTATTTTCAAAGACCTTCTTACACTCAGCAGCAGCGATACAGGAAGCCACTCCTGCAAAATGAAGCGGAATAGAATAAACATGCTAGAGGGCAGTGATGTTTCAATAAAAATGTATTTGTCTTCAAACAGCTCCTGCAGTCCTAGTGCTGGAGACACTTTGTGGATGAGCTGTGAGCCAGCAGCTCATAGGATCAACTCTATGTCCTTTTTCAGGACATGAGCTTCTGGGGAGCTGCAGTAATAAAGAACGCATATTTCACTGGGGCCTGCCAAGGTGATTATCACCAGGTGAGTTTCAGGCTATCCCAAATCTTCTTCGTCCTGAGTACTCCTTGCTTGAGAGTAGTATGTGGAGGTTGGCAGCGGGGTGTGTACAAAAGCTATGCAGTATTTCCCACAAAAAAAAAAATCAAGGTTGAAAGCAGTATTTAGTACATTAGTATCAAACAGATGTAAATGTGGCACAGATTTGCTATCTTGCTTTTTCTTTTTTTTTTCAGTGTGTGTGTGTGTGTGTGTGTGTGTGTGTGTGTGTGTGTGTGTGTGTGTGGTGTGTGTGTGTGTGTGTGTTCATTTGTTTGATTGGTTGTGACAAGGAAGATCTCTTGTTTTTTAGTCCAGCCTCGTGTCAAACTCAGTCTGTAGCCCAGGCTGGCCTCCTGATCTCCATGCCTCCTGATCTTCCTGCCTCAATCTCAGTGCTGAGACATCAGGTGTGGGCCACCATGGTGGGCTTGAGTCATTGTCTCACAAGTCACTGCCACTGTTCCTTGTTGATTCGGGCAACCACAATTTGAAGGCCACAGTAAAGAGCACTCATCGCTTCACCATCTTGTGGAGGGAAAGGTTTTAAGTGTGCAGCCCTGCTGCGATGGTAAGCAGCATCCAGTGGACAATGTGCACTTTGCCCCTAGAGACGACTATTTTCTTGTCACAATGTGAACACAGTGACTATGTTTTTCTGAGAGAACACAGGATGAAAACCATTGCCATGGCAGCACCAGGTGAAACAGACATCCCCTGAAGTTAAAATATTTTTTCTTACTTTACTGACTAAGGAACAAACACATACAACTGGGTTGGAAAGAAAAAAATAACCAGACAGAATCCACCGAAGAATATGAAGAAAATAACAAGTGGTAGAAAGAGGGGTGGGGTGTGTATGTAGAGGCTGGGTCTCAGGAACCCAGGAAGAGACAGCCAAGTCCATCTAAGTCAACCCAAAGATGTCCATCTTTAGAAGGACACCAAGCTCACTTGTAAGTAGTGGAGTCGAGTCAGCTTGCACGTACCGTGTGCACCAATGCACCAGTTTGCATTATTGCATCATTCTCTTGGTTGCCCTACGAAGCTAAGTAAAGTTACATTGTCCAGAAATTGTTCTTAAATGCCCCACAGACAAAGGAAAGGGAAATTCTGACAGAGGTGTGGGCCCTCTGCCATCTAGAACTGTTCTGGTCAGAGCTTTACTTTCTACAACAGTGAGCAATCACAACAACTAACTATTCTCCCTGCTCTAGACACTTTGATTTGAAAGAAAAACACTATTGATCTTTTTCTCTATGAGGAATATTAATGAGGCAGCCAAATAATAAAACACATTTATTGCTATCTTGTACAAATACAATGTAAACTTTGCTTATATATCCATATATTCAACAATAGTACAAATACAGACTTCGGCAAATTCAATTCCATCTGTTAACTTCTTATCACAGAAAACAGGAAGTGCCACATCCAGATATGCCATGCATCTTGTGCACGATGCTCCTGCAGTAGGAAGTGTGCAGTTTGCTTACCTGTGACACTGAGGTCCTCACCAGTGAAATGGTTTGGTTTTTGTTTGTTTCAAGGTTTTCGTTTCTCATTAACCTGCAGAATCACTTCATGAGATTCTTGACTCAGAATTGGAAGGCGATGGCTTCTTTAGACACAAGCTCACACGCTGTCTGACGTTTTTTGTCTGCTGTGTTTCTCTGCTGGCGGCCCCTATTTGCGGGGAGGAGAACAAGGACAATTTCTTTTTGTTATTTGGAAATATCCTATTATGGACAGGGAGAAAGGGATTAGAGGAAAACAGGAGAAAGAAATGCATGCTGCTTCTCAGAAACCACTTAAAGATGGCTGAAGAGAACTGAGCCGGCCATGGACAGAAAACCAGCTGATGTCATGTTCAGAGTTAAGAAAATGCCCAAAGTGACAAATCTCTCCTTTATTGTATACAAGGCTGCCCCCCCCCCCACTTTTTTGGTTTGAAAATGGCAGTCAGATTTGTCACAATTTCTTCAATTATTTCCTAAAACTTTGAACATACAAGTTTTACTTCATGCTTTAGAAGGATTTTTCCAGAGAAGACAGATTTACCTCCTAGTGATTTCTGGCGCTCTTTGGAATGGGGAAAAAGAACACTTCATACGCAGAGTTTGAGGAACAAATTCAGAATGCAGAGAACAAGCCAGGCCAAGGTAAGTGCCTGTGTTTAAAGGCACAGACAGTATTTTAGAACAAAAACTCATCTCTACACATCTATAGCCTGCCTGCTGGCAACAGAGCCTATTCCTGCTAAGACACCTTTGCAGAGAGAATGTGAGTTTATGTCATCACAATTCACACTTTGCTAAGAGTCAACATTTTGGTGAACTTCATATCACAGTTCTCCACTTTACCACTTCATAAAAGAAGGATAGTGTAAAACCTTTAGCACAGAAAGTACTGGAGAAATGCAGAATGCCTGAAAATATCATACTGTATCATGGGGGAAAGTCACCATTTAAATATTACCTTTTAAATATTTAATATGAACTGAGTTTAATACCTACCTAAATAGAACTATTGCATTTATACTCTTTTTAAAGTTCTCACATTGCTTAGCTTAAGAATGCACAATAACATAGCATATAAGATGCAAATATTTCTGGTAAATTTTTAAACATTGTGCAAAAGAACAGAAATAAAAATATCATTTCTTTCTCACAAACATTGCTTAATTAATTCTGATATTGACGTTCCTCTGTCAATATTGATAGACTCATTGTTTGGTTTAAACAGTAACATTTGCTGGAGCACATATTTAAATCAGCTAGATTATATAGTTTCAAATAAACATACACCTTCATGATTTTATATGTGCAATTTCATTACCGGTGCATGGCTTCTGCTATTATAGACTCTATTATTGTGGGTCGTTCTTATCTGGCATGAATATGTCTCAGGCCTTTCTCATCACATGCTCTGGCTCTAGCATTCATGGTTCTGTTTGACTGGAGGAAGGACAGGGCCTATCATCTTAGAAACAGCCAGTTTTCTGCTCTGCTGGGCCTGCACTTCCTGTTCATAACCTTGCAACGTGTCTGTAGCCACATCTCTGGGACCAAGCAGCACCTGGCATGTACACCCGAGCTGTATTTCCCAACCAGCTGGACATAATCCCTGGTTTAAATGACATGTAGAAGAATTCAGAAGTCCTTGGTGAAAAACAAAAAATTAGGAAGTCTTTCTGATTTTTTTCACATTGCTTCTGAAATTAATTCATTGGAATAATTAGTATCCTTTTTCTAAGTTACCTGAGCCCTGGAGTTCAAGGACTGCTGTGTCTTTCATGTGAATGTGAAGAACTTGGACAGTCAGAAAGATCAGACCACCCATGTGTACACTTGAGGGGATGGGGATGAACTGTGGGCCCTTAAACATGAAACCCTCAGAATCAGAGACACTTCTGTAGCACTGCTGTGAGTTATGCTATTGCAACCTCCCCTCAAATGTGTGGTCCAGGCTGCTGTCAGTTAGAGTCTTCAGGAATAACCTCCCTGAATCTTAAACGGCATATCTTCTTAACTTTGCAGTTCTGAAAACTCTCACTGCTCCATTGCTTTGGTGGGAACTTCTTTTTTTTTAATTAAGAAAAATTTTTCATTCGTTTTACACACCAATCAAAGATCCCCCTCTTCCCTCCTCCTACCTGCCCCAGCCTTCCCCTCCCAACCCACCCCCACTCCCACCCACAAGAAGGCAAGGTCTCCCATGGGGAGGCACACTCGACAGAGGCAACTCCAAGCCCTTCCCCCTGCCTCAAGGCTGCAAGAGGTATCCCATCATAGGTAGTGGACTCCACAAAGCCTGCTCATGCACCAGAGATGGATTCTGATCCTACTGCCAGAGGGCCTCCCAAGCAGACAAAGCTACACAACTGTCTCACCATGCAAAGGGCCTAGTCCAGTCCCATGTAGGCCCCACAGTCATTGATCCAACTTTCATGAGTTCCCACTAGTTTGGTTTGGTCGTCCCTGCCTGTTTCCCCATCATGATCCTGATGCACTTGCTCATAGAATCCCTTTTCTCTCTGTTTGATTGGACTCCTGGAGCTCTGTCTAGTAATTGGTTGTGTATCTCTGCATCTGCTTCCATCAGTCATTGGAGAAAAGTTCTGTGATGACAGTTAGGTTATTCACCGATCTGATCTCTGGGGCAAGTCAGTTCAGTTCAGGCACCTTCTCCACTATTGCTAGTAGCCCAGACTGGGGTCATCCTTAGGGATTCCTGGCAACTTCCCTAGCACTGGGTTTCTCTCTATCCCCATGATATCTCTCTCTATCATGGTCTCTCTTTCATTGCATTCCCCCTCCCTCCCTGTTCCAGCTCAACCATCCCATCCCCTTATGTTCTCATCCCCTATTCCCTACCCTCCATTGCCCACCCCTCATCCCCAGTTTACTCATGGAGATCTCAACTATTTTCCCTTCCCAGGGTGGTCCATGAGTCCCTCTTTGGGTCTTCCCTGTTAGCTTCTCTGGAGTTGTGGGTTGTTGCCTAATTACCCTTTGCTTTATATCTAGTATCCACTTATGAGTGGGTACATACCATGTTTGTCCCTCTGAGTCTGGGTTACCTCACTCAGGATATTTTCTAGTTCCATCCATTTGCCTGAAAATTTCATGATGTCATTCTTTTTTCTCTGCTGAGTAGTACTCCATTGTGTATATGTGACACATTTTCTTAATCCGTTCTTCAGTTGAGGGGCATCTAGGTTGTTTCCAGGTTCTTGCTATTACAAATAATGCTGCTATGAATATAGTTGAGCATGTATCCTTGTGGTATGACTGAGTATTCCTTGGGTATATGACCAAAAGTGGTATAGCTGGGTCTTGAGGTAGATTGATTCCCAATTTTCTGAGAAGTTGCCATACTGATTTCCAAAGTGGCTGTTTGCACTCCCACCAAGAGTGGAGGAGTGTTCCCCTTGTTCCACATCCTCTCCAACATAAGCTGTTCTGCAGTACTTTTGATCTTAGCCATTCTGACAGGTTAAAGATGGTATCTCAGAGTCATTTTTATTTGCATCTTCCTGATAATTAAGGATGCTGAGCAATCAATGATTTTCAAGAGAACTCTTGATTTTGACTGAAAACCAACGAGTCTTTATCCTTAACATTCATCCTTGTGAGAGACCCTTACCACACTCTCCCAATACTGCAGTCCCTGGCATATGACTCACACTTGTTGAAGTCTCCAGAGGACGTCATATTCTATCACCATTATTTCACCTGTGCCCATCTCTGAGCTGGTCCTATTAGCCCCTAGAAGTCACCACCATTTGATTTATCATTAATGTTAGAAGTGAGGTGTGGTGGTTTGAATGAGAAGTGTTCCCCATGAACTCGTGTATTTGAACACTTGGTGTGCTGTTTAGGAAGGTTCTGGAACATTTAGGAGGTGGAAGCTTACTGGAGGAAATAAGTCACTGGATACAGGCTTTGCAATTTTACAGCCTGGCCCCACTTCTGTGCTTTCTCTCTATTTCCTGTGTGCAAATGAAATGTAGTCATCGTGCTTCTTGACTGCCATGCTGACATCATGTCCCTGATGCCATGCCTTCCCCACCATGATGGACTGTATCCCTCTGGAGATGTGGCCTAAAATAAACCCCCCTCTCCTGTAAGCTGATTTTGTTTGTGGTATTTTATCACAGCAACAAAAAGTAACTAATACATAAGATCAAGAACAATATCAGAAGGAGAAGATGTAGAAATATCTAGCACTGAGTTTTATATGGTTCATCTTTCTCTCTCATTCTAAATGATTGTTTCCACCAAGACACTGGAAAAGCTCAGTCATGGTATCTCTCCTTATACCAAGAGCAGGTGAGGAACAAAAAAATACCTGGAAACATAGCCATGGTTGGTGCTATTCAAGGGCCTCGAGAGACACCCCTCCCATATACATACCACATTTCATGGGGTTCTCTGGCCTCCTGTGCACAAGAACAGCTAGAATTCTCTTTATTATGGATTCAGAGAAGCTGCTTCCTGTCTCGGCCTCTACTGTTTGAGAAACAACCTGTCTTTCTTCTTCAACCACATCATAAAACATATTCTCTTCATGATCCATGTCTTCAGATGCCTTTGGTGACCAGGGCTAAAGATGGATGTGCTACTGGGTTCCACATACTTAGTGACAGCATTTCTCTAGAGAATGGTCCAAGTCAAATACAGAGAAAGATGCTCTTGGTAGAGAACACAATGTGAGGATGTGGATGTCAGCCTATCAGAAGCCTGCTGTCTCAGGAGAACACAGAGGGGCTCATATACAGCTAGGGTGATATGGAAGAGTCCAGCCAACAACAATCTTTAAAGAAAAGCTCTTTCTCTGAACCTGCATCCAGTCAGATGGCAACTCTATTAGGTACATTTGAGTAAGGACAGCAAATGGTAAGGTGGAGGAGGGAACACTGGGGTGAAAATGCTAGCATCTGTGGGGCATGAGTTTAGAAGAATATTGGTAACTGGGGTGTATAGTGCCTGCTGAGTCCACTATCTACTTGCTTCTGTGCCGATGCTGAAAGGCAATAAAACAATGAGTGATGGAGGAATGTCTTTCTGTATGCTGTGAATACATGTTTCTCTGATTGATTGATAAATAAAGTTGCTTGGCCAATGGTGTGGCAGAATAGGGTTAGGTGGGACATTCTAACTATAGAGGAAGAAGGAGAAAGG